GTGCCTTTAAAGGTGGGAAGACCTAAATGATACTTATATGTAACTTGATCCTTGCTTTAGCTTTATATTTTACGTATAGTTTAGTCTCCCATATTTCCCCACCCTTTGTAGTTTTGTAGTGAAAAGCAATAAAAAAAATTTTTTTAAAAAAATTCTCGAAACCTGGACAGCCAAATCCTAGTATTTAGGGAAGTTTAAGTTGCTCTTTGTATGCAAGGCCATAGCTAGTGTGGGGCCCACAGGTGGCACCCCTCCCGAACTCACAGTGCCCCCTGAATCTGGCTGAGGGAGAGGCAGAGGTGGTGGGCTGAGCAGGCGGCACTGGGGTGCGGACAAGGACTCTCCTCCCTGGGACGTGCATCCTGACCGGAGCCTCCTTCCCCCAGTCGCTGGCCTCGCCCTCGAAGATGCCTGCACGGGTCACACATCTGCAGTGCCTTTGGCAAGCAAGCCCGTCCCCTTGCCTGGCCTGCAGCGTCCCTCTGCCCGAGGCCAGCAGGCATTGTGGATTCGTACAGGGGCTGGCTGCGACTGGGCCGCCCCTCCCCTGGAGAGGTTGCTGGCCTGCCCCCTTTCTCCCTGTGCCATTGGCACCTCCCTCCACGAGCTCTAGCTCATCACCTTCACAGTGCTCATCCAGTACAGCTGCTCCAGCCAGCTGCAGGCGGGTGCCCCTCGGCCCTCCCTCGCCCTGCATTTATTTCATGGAAGACTCCTTACAAACTCATGGTGACCCCATGGCATTTTTTTTTAATGCTCCCCGTAGGGGATTTTTTAAATTGCATTTTCTATAAACTACAACGAAATTAGGAAGGGGATCTACAAACTATAGGAGAAAGTAAAGAAAACCCACTAAAAACCCAAGAGATGGTGGTCATACATAAAGGTAAAGGTAAAGGTTTCCCTTGCTCAAAAGCCAGTTGAATCCAACTCTAGGGTTGCGGTGCTCATCCCCGTTTCAAAGCCAAAGAGCCAGCGCTGTCCGAAGACGTTTCCGTGGTCATGTGGCCGGCATGACTAAACACCGAGGCGCACGGAACACTGTTACCTTCCCACTGAAGTGGTCCCTATTTATCTACTTGCAATTTCTTGCTTTCGAACTGCTAGGTTGGCAGGAGCTGGAACTAGAGACGGGAGCTCACTCCGTCATGCGGCACACTCGGGTCTCGAACGGCTGAACTACCAACCTTCCACAGCCTGCAGTTCAGCGCCTTAACTACTTGAGCCACTGTAGCTCCTTATATATGGTCATACATACTGCTTAACAAATTAGCTTTTAACTCCATATTCGATTCAAGTCCACTGAATGTGGTCATCTAGTAGTCAATTTAAACTAAAATGAAAATTTAAACACCAACGTTTCTGACTTCTTAAAAAGCAAATTAAGAAATAATTCTAACAATACATTGTAAGAGATTTCAGAGTGCAATAACATCTCATTTTTTATACTTTTTCTTTCTCAAGTGATAGCTTGTCTTCGGGGGGACCCCATGGCATTTTTAATTAGTTAATTTGATTAGCTGTCCTGCCCCCTCCCCCCCCCACACACGAAGAAAGGTCTAGCTCCGGGGCTGTTTGTATGTCTTGTGACCAGTACGGATGTACAGATATATGCATTCAATATGATGACTGGTGAACATCTGTTGAAGACCAAGCATGCTCTGAAACGTGCACCTGTGAGCAACACATTTTATCCCCCACAAAATTAAAAATTCTGAATTTTAGCATTTTACCACTTTGTGCCTATGAACAATAAATATACATATCTTCCTGAACTGCGGGAAATGAGATGCAAATTGGAAGTAGGGGCTTCAAATGGGCAGAAGGGCGGGAGAGGAAGGAGAAGGCGGGAAGGAGGTCTCCCTGGGAGGCTGCTTGCACGCATGCCCACAGGCAGTGTTCCCTCTAAGCTGAGTCAGTGTGAGCTAGCTCACTGTTTTTTATCCTCTGGCTCACACATTTTTGTCTTAGCTCAGGAGGGATGGCTCCAGAGCAGACTCATTTCTGCAGTAGTCAAATCGCTCGCTCACAACTTTAACGGCTGTAGCTTACAAAGCAGGATTTTTGCTCACAAGACTCCACAGCTTAGAGGGAACATTGCCCACAGGCACAACACACTACTAGCCTTCCTTGCCCACACATGGGTCTTTATGGCACACAAACGGCAGGAGAATAAAAAAGAACCAGCCTTCTCATTGGTAAAAACACTTCCTTGTGTGATTGCCTAGAAGGGATTCTGACTCACCACAGGTGACCAGGCAGCCCCCCATTTACAAGCCTGCTTAAAGAGGAGTGAAGGGGACGGATCTCTGGAGTCTGCCATTCTCCCCTTCTCCGGGGTTCAAGTCTGGCATGAAGGGTTCCCTTGAGCAGTGGGAGACGTACCCACCGGCGGCGGCAGAGCCTTACTATCCTTTCTCAGGACGACGCCAGCACAGCCCTTGCTGGCCCTGATGGGGTAAGGAGGAAGCTGTCCCGGGGGGGCTGGGATCCGTGCCACCCATGTGCCAGAAGGCAGACAATTACAGGGACATTAGATTTGTTGTTGGGGTGGCGAAACAACTCTTTCTCCAGTCTTGGGCTCAGGCAGATCCGGATGAATCTGCTGCCTTTATGGATTTTTTCCAGCCTTGATCTCCACAACTGACTGCACCAATGTTCCCTCTAAGCTGTGGAGTCTTGTGAGCAAAACTTATGGCCAGGGTCCAGCCTACCTGAGGGACCGCCCTTCCCCACATGTTCCCTACAGTCGGGGCCCCAAAATCTGTTGGTCATCCCGGGCCCCAAGGACACCAAACTAGCTGCGACCAGGGCCAGGGCTTTTTCGGTGGTGGCTCCTACCTGGTGGAATGAGCTCCCGGGGGAGATCCGGGCCCTGCAGGACCTTATTCAGTTCCGCAGGGCCTGCAAGACGGAGCTCTTCCGCCAGGCCTTTGAGTAGGAGCTGCCGCCCCTACTATACCATCACCATCACTGCACCTAAAGGACGTTTTGGCGAGGCCCTGAGGAAGAACTTGGGAATGTTTAGAAGATCCTGGAGAAGAACTGAGCTGAGTCATCTTGGACTTACGTTTAGTAATTGATTGAGCACCACTGTTTTAATATTGGAACCCTGCCCTTGTGAGCCGCTCTGAGCCCATTGGGGAGGGCGGGATATAAATATGAAAAATAAATAAATAAATAAATTCTACTTTGGGAGCTACTGACATTAAAGCTGTGAGCGAGTGAGTTGGTTGCTGCATAAATCAGTTTGCTCTGGAGCCATCCTTCCTGAGCTAAGACAGAAATGTGTGAGCCAGAGGCTAAAAAACTATGAGCTAGCTCACACTAACTCAGCTTAGAGGGAACACTGGCCTGCAAACCCCCCCCCACAGCTAGAATTCTCTCTCCCCTGCCCTTCTGCCAGCTTCAAGCCCTCGAGCTGCTGAGAGGTTTGTCTGTGACTTGGCATTTCTGTATATCCAAAGCAACACCCCTTGTGTAGAAGAAGAAGGAGAAGAAAGAGCAGCCACAGCAGATCAAAAAATTAAATACCGGGGAATATATTTTAAAAAACAAACAACTCCCCTTAAACGCATCTGGAAAACATCCACATGAAAACGACCCCCCCAAAACAAAACTCAAGCCCACACTGAAAACTTTTCTGAACAGCCACATTTTAACAAGCTAACAACGCCAAGTCTGCTTAAAGCTCATCTCTATAAAAGGTGGGATGTGAATCTCCCCTGTGGGTCTACGGGAGGAAAAGGTACAGGAGGAAAGCAGGAAGAGTCTTCAGGAGTGCTCTCCTCTGAGCTCAGAAACACAGAAGTGACCAGTGTTCCCTCTAAGCTGAGTTAGTGCGAGCTAGCTCACAGTTTTTTAGCCTCCGGCTCACACATTTCTGTCTTAGCTCAGGAAGGATGGGGCTCCAGGACAAACTAATTTATGCAGCAGCCAAGTCGCTCGCTCATAACTTTAATGCCAGTAGCTCACAAAGCGGAATTTTTGCTCACAAGACTCCACAGCTTAGAGGGAACATTGGAAGTGACCCAACCCCACTGGGCAGCGATGCTGTTTATCTCCAGGGGAGCCACAGCCTTCTGCATCCAGCGCCACGTTCAGACGCAGGCTAAAAATCCTCCAGTGGAAACACAGAATATTCCACGCTGCAGCTGTTGATTTACATTAGCCACGTTTCTCTAGTGCCACGTCTGTGCCACAATCCCAAGCAGAGACTTTCCAGTTTAGAGTAAATCAACAGCCACAAAAAGGAGCAACGCTGCACAGGACTCCATTGATCGGCTCCTGTGAAATAAAATGCTATTTAACCCTACATGGCCAGGGTCCGGCATACCTATGTCTTTCCCCATACAGGCCCCAAAGAGCACTTCGGTCGGGGTCACAACACCGCCTAGTGACCCCGGGCCCTAAGGAGGCCAAGCGTGTTGCCACAAGGGCCAGGTCCTTTTCGATGGCGGCTCCTATCTGGTGGAATGAGCTCCTGGAGGACATCAGGGCCCTGCGGGACCTGTTACAGTTCTGCAGGGCCTGTAAGACGGAGCTCTTCCGCCAGGCTTTCGAATAGGAGCCGCCGCCACCACCAACAGTCGATCGCAGAGCAGTACCGCCAGGTTGGGCTGATTGGCCACCTGGACATCGTGGCCCATGGCACCCCTCTCATTGACCCCAATGTGATGTACAATAGGGAGTGAGCATATTAGTCGCGATGGATCCTGGGAGTTGTCCACTGTGTTTAAACTGTTTTAATTGTATTTTATTGCACTGCGTGCCTTAATTGTTTTTAAATTGTGGTGTGTTTTGTAAGCCGCCCTGAGCCCGCGTACGGGTAGGGCGGGGTATAAATGAAATAAAATAAATAAATTAAATATAAATATAAATAAATAATTAACATGTTGCAAACAATTGCTTAGAAGTAAAAAGAAGCTCTTTATAGAATGGTGTTCAGGTGGGGGGTGGGGAGACACCCCCTTACATCGAAAGTTTCGTTTGTTACTCACTTGTTGAAAAGATGATTGTCCACCTTAATCTTACTGTAGGCTTTAAAGTCATCTGGCATTAGCATCACTGGAACTGGAACATTACTCAACTCATTAATCTGCAATAAGAAACACAAACTCTAAACAGGCTGCAGTACCTGCTGTGCTCGTGTCTGGAGGATTGCAGAGCCAACAACACCCTCCCCCCCCCCCGAAAGATGAATGGCAGCTGCATGACCCAGAACAATTCTACCCAATCACAGGCTCTGCAGAAGTACATGATGCACTTTTGGGGACAGAGGGGGAGAGGAAGTGCAGTCCAGAGGCTATCCCAGGCCCCACCTCCACAAAGATTTGGGTTTGCCCCCCCCTTCCGCCTCCCTCTGTATAATGGGAACAATCACAGTTATGCAAACCTCACGATACTACAAAAATTAAAACTGAGTCCAGGGAACCTGAGGAAGCAAATACAATCTCTTATTATGTTGGCACAATATATTCTGCAATGTTTGCTATTTAGTAAAATTTACTTTGGTTTCCAGAATCAAGAGGAGAAGATGTCCCTGTTTCCTACTAGAAATCTGATCAGGGCTACCCAACTGACTTCTTAGACTTCAACAAGCACTTTCAAGAATATCTTCACAGCCATTTGCTCTTATTCTTAAATGAAAGCTCGGAAAGCTCCAACCGTCCTTCTCGGCTTCTACGGTCTCCATCCCGAGAACCACCTGTCAGCTCACAGAAATGTTGTGAAGGCAGAGAACATCAGTTCACACTTCTTATGTGGTAGGAGCCTATACCAACCAGGGAAGGTCCAGGCACTGCCTGAATATTTACAACCTAGGAGCTTGTAAAAATCTTTGCAAAAAAAGACTACAAAATGAAACTGTTAGATACACAATAGACTGGGAAAGGAAAACTAAGAGCCCTCATATAGCCATAAACATCACTATAACAGTTTTTTACAACCGCCTATCCATCTAGATGCATTTCTGAAACTTTTAACACTGGGTTGGAGTACAGAGTCAAGGGAAAGGTTTTATCGGTGGCTCAAAATCAGAGGCAGTCCTCATGCATATCCATTCCAGAAGAAACAGTCAGCTCCCAGGACAATGAGCAAAGATCTCCCTTTCAGCGGGTCCTCTGACAGCCTCCCCCACCTCCTCTCCATTCATGGCTGTAATTAATTTGTAAAGCCATTTATACCATTCGCCCGGCCCGTCACAATCTTCTGGAGCAAGAAATCCCAGATGCCTTGGTCTTTTTGTCCAGCCTGGTCTACTACTCAAATCAACTTGGCTAGACTACACCAAGATATCTAATGGACTGTATTTCCCCCCCCAACACCTTTCGTAAAATGTTGAGGTAGCTTTCAAAAACTAGAAACCAATGTACAAAACTAGGCATCCTCACTAGCCCACAAAATCCAAACAAGCATTAGCTTTAAAGCTGGAGTTTCCATTTCCCTATTCAATCCACCGTACTATAAACCTCGACATGAGAAAGCCATCTTTTGCCTCAGCAAGGGAGAGAGGAAGGGGAGCAGCCTTCAGAGACAAATTTGACCTACTGACTGACCTCACACCTTAACTTTTGGCTTAGGAGACACCAAAAGAGAGGGCAGATTTTCTCATGAAGTCTGAAATGCTTCACAATACATACAGGACAACATTTGCACACCGATCCCAGAAAAAGTGACAGATTTGGTGGACATTTTCAAATAACTCCACTTGGGCTGCTGCAACTCATCCAACTAAGTGTGCCCTCCAAACGGCAAAGGTGGACCATGGATGCCTTTAGGAAACGGCATGTTTCCCCCAACTGTATTTCAACGTTAATCACAACTCTGGTCAGAGTGACACAAAAGAAGAACAATTGTGAATTACAATAATTAACAAACATAAACATGGCCTTTACATAGCGCAGCCTGCAGTTCAGCGTCTTAACCACTTGAGCCACCACAGCTCCTAACTTTTGGCTTAGGAGACACTAGAAGAGAGGGCAGATTCTCTCATGAAGTTTGAAACGCTTCACAATACATACAGGACAACATTTGCACACCGATCCCAGAAAAAGTGACAGAATTGGTGGACACTTTCAAATAACTCTCCCCCCTGCCTCCACTTGGGCTGCTGCAAATCATCCAACTAAGTGCGCCCTCCAAACTGCAAAGGTGGACCATGGATGCCTTTAGGAAACGGCATGTTTCCCCCAACTGTATTTCAACGTTAATCACAACTCTGGTCAGAGTGACACAAAAGAAGAACAATTGTGAATTACAATAATTAACAAACATAAACATGGCCTTTACATAGCACCTTGCTGCGTGTGATAAATTTATCTTCCCTTACTCCAGCAGCCCTGTGAGTTTGGTCCTTAATAGGCCAACAGCAGGTAACTGCGACTTGTGATGTGCACAGTGTCACGTGCAGGGTCTCTGAGTCTAGGGTCAAGGCTGCCACTCTACCAATAGTAGAGAAATCGTACTACCAGTAGCAGGCGGGGTTTGAATATGTCTAGCAAAATTTCAGGTGCCTGGCCTCTGCACCCACGGAGAATAAAAAATGGAAGTTTTCAATCTTGTTGAATGTCAACATCCATATTGTGGTGCTTTTTAAAAACTGTCTACTATGCACTCCAAATGTTCTTCAAACATTTGTAGGAACCGATTTGTCTGACTTAGTCCAGCTAACGTATGCCAATATAGAACTGCTGCTGATAAACATCTGACATAATCTAACCACAGAACAGAGTTTTGAGTCCAGGGGCACCTTCCAGACCAACAAAGTTTGATTCTGGGTATAAGGTTTTGTGTGCACGCACACAAAACCTTATACCCAGAATCAAACTTTGTTGGTCTGGAAGGTGCCCCTGGACTCAAAACTCTGTTCTGCTAATCTAACCATATAAGGGATCTGATACTTTTCACCCCTTCTCTAATGCTAGCAGGTAAGGATCGGCACAGAAAGCATTCTGCATTCCAGTGAACCAGGAAAGAAGAATCATCCTTGCCTGTTAAAATCTAGCCCCCATCACCGCGTATGAAGGCCTACACAAGAAAATACCGTGGCTGTTGATTTTTGCTATATTGAAAAGTATGCTATGTCAAATTCATTTATATTGTAAGCGGTTTGGTTTATTTTATACATGTACACACACACACACACACTTAAATGCAAGGCTACAGGTGCCCTCTAGGTGGGGGCGCCAACTGAACTGCGGTGTACCCAAGACACAAATTTCAGTCGCGCCCTATCCCACTATCCCGTGGTTCGTAATCTAATTGGGATGGTCGCAGGTGGCCAGCTGTGTGCAGGGGCGGATGAAGGCTCACGGGTGCCCTGAGCACGGACCCATCTTGGTGCCCCCCCCTCCTTTCCACACTGACCCCCACTCCATTTCAGTGGTTGACCTGTCTGACCAGATAGAAAATGCAGGTTGCAGCAATACAAACATTTATTCATGGGATTAACACCATAGACTGTGTACAAACGAAGCCTTTCCCCCTTTCCCCAACTTTGTGGGTGTCCCCTTTGGGCCTGGCGCCCTAAGCACCTGCTTCCTCTGCTCCGTGGTCAATCTGCCCCTGGCCGTGTGGGCCTGAAGCGGGAGGTCACACCCGGGAGTCCCCGCCAGCAATGTTCCCTCTAAGGCAGTGGTGGCGAACCTATGGCACGGGTGCCAGAGGTGGCACTCAGAGCCCTCTCTGTGGGCACGCGTGCCATCGCCCCAGCCAGGCCCAGACCATCATTAAAGTGTCGAATTCTCTGCCAAATAATTTTAAGTCAATGAAAGCATTTGGGATTGCTTTCCTTACTTTGTTTGGATCATCTTAAGTTAGTGTTCGTTGCATAGATAGATGTCAT